TAACTCTCTTTCTACCCCTCCCAACTAATCGGTAATGAGCATAGTTTACAACTATTCTCATCGATTATTGATTAGTTGGCTGCAGCCCTACCTGCAACATTAACAATTACAATATTTTCCTGACCACCTATTTTTCTTCAAATCGTTCCTGACATTCTAAGCCATGATGAAGGAGAAGTCCTGAGCCCCTGAAATGCACTGGCTATGGTGAGCGCGCTCTCAGCACTGAATAGCAGGACGGCTCAAGCATATACAGCGGGCGTTACAGCCCACCGGTGTGATACTTCTATGCGTTAAATGGCAGGAAGGTGTTATTACATATAGACATAACAAGGCTCAATTCACAAAGGTTTAACACGAGGCTAAGGATCTTTATTTTAGCCATGTGACTGTCATTGAACTTTTTTTCTATTATTAATAAGGATCTTTATTCTTGTGGGTTAGCTTTGAGAATTCCTTCTCTAGTGTAATGATATAATACTGCAGACACTACATTAGAGCACATCATATTGTGTATAATGGGCTTGGATTTAAAAAGGAACAAACTTGCCTCCTGTAGATACAATTACTGAATATGCCTTCTATAGATATACTGAATATTCTTTTCTAGGTGATGTTTTGATATTCTCACTATTGGTGCGCTTAATTTTGGTACATTGTCGATGTTTACATGCCGGTCATGTGGAGTTTTGATGTATTTTTATGAATAGGTGAAATAAAGATTTTTGAATGACTGATGTGAGTGTCGCCTTCAATTATGAATTTCTAAACATTGTCTTTCAAGAAAAAAAACTGTATTGTCACCTTTCCGTGTGCTTTCTCATGTGTCTTTACTCATTATAACCAATTGTATTTTCGTATGCGTTGCCATTGTCATCGATGGACCCCATAGTGCCAAACGACGTGTCAACAAAAAGACAATGCACATCAACACACTGCACTGATGTGAACTTGCACTGTGTAGAACAATGGCCAACCCTTGTATATGCATTGGGATGTGGTGACTGCTCTGACAATTACATAGTTACATAGTATTTGAGGTTGAATAAAGACATTAGTCCATCAAGTCCAACCTATAGGATCTTGTTTTTAGGAGTACTTGTACCCCTGTATATTACTGTCCCTTAAAAAATCGTCCATAGTTACATAGTATTTGAGGTTGTATAAAAATGTCCTTTTTACCATTTATGTTTCACACGTTTTTACCTATTTAAAACTGAATTTTGATCTGCTTACATTGGTTCCTCCCTCCCTCCCTATTATCAACATAATTGCATTTTAAAGTAGGTCTGCAACAACTAATTGATTATAATGGTAATGACTCGCGGCCTGGCTTCCCGATTGGCCGGGAAGCCGGCTCCATGCTACCGGAAGTATTGGTACTCTGTATCGGCGAGTACCGAAATATAAAATATTGGTACTCGTATCGGGGTGCATCCCTAGCCAAAACAGTTCTTTTTTTTGTTTTCGATAGTGTAGAGAAGGGTTAAGCCCCTTGTTAGGTTATTTTTTACTGCATGTGTCCTGTTGGGGAGATTTACCTTCACATCCTCTCTCCTGGAAATGCAACAGAAAGGGGATGAAATCTCTCTACACACACATAGCCCCGTATGCTCGCTCTGTTACAGACTCAGTTTGGAACTTTACTACTCCCAGTGCAAACCTCTACATCTGGCAGCGGCTCAGAGAACAAAGTGCTCCCTCTAGTGGCTATTCTACAAATCTCTTCATGAATGTAATAACATACGAATGAAAGAGCTACAAAGTAGAAATATGAAAGTTACATAAAAAGTTAGTTTGAAGTTTGACAAGATAGTGTACAATACCGTGTTTTACCCAAAAATAAGACACTGTTATATTTTTTTGGGCTCAAATAAACCCACTAGGTCTTATTTTCGGGGTAGGTCTTTTTTAAAAATATGTATAACTATCTAAAGTTAATGCAAATCCAAATTAAATAATCCAAAATGGCTTATTTAAAAGTTAAGAATAGGGTGATCAGGGGTGCCATACCTTTCCTAGAGCAATTTGGTAACCAGAATGAGCGAAGCGCACTTTCACTATAGATTCCTCACAGGCAGAGTGCATTTGGTATCACTCCGCCTGTGACAGGAGACGGCCCTATAGAGGAAACATCGGCTTATGCGGCTCTGCTCCCTCCGCTGCCACCTCATTTCCTCTAGCGCTGCCTTCGTTGGCACCGCTGATTCTCTCCTGTGGCTCTTTAAGTTCCCCCTTTATGCCACCACCGACCCTGGGAATGGTCACAACCAGGTCTTATTTTTGGGGTAGTTCTTATATTTTAGCAATTCCAAAAAATTGTACTAGGTCTTATTTTCAGGGAAAAAGGGTAGGTGTGCACTGAGATCCATATCATACTTACCATATACAAAAAGAGGTCTCAAACTTTCTTTAAATGACTCCAAGCACATGTAGCACTGTGTCCTGTTTTTGTGGGTGCTGAGCTACCCCCCTACCCGCTCCCACCACACTGACACTGTTTGACCACACAAGGAGACAATTAGGTTATGAGCATTGACTGACTGCTCTTGTCCAGGGCCGGATTTACTCTCTGCTGCACAAGGCCAGGTTCGTCTATGCGGTGATAGGAATCCCTGGCCAGGCCTCGGTTGGCCGTGTGGGAAATCCAGCTCTGCTCTTGTCTCCGGCACTAGCTGCTTTCTCCAAACAAGTACCATTAGTAGGCATGGGGGGGAGCGTGTCAGCTAGAGGCGGCAGGTCAGCCGGCCATGCTGTCTCATTTTTACATACTGGAATATGGAGCAGTACATGTTCTGTTTACTAAGCTGCTCCATTGTGCTTTGTGCTGTGGGCAGCTTCCCGTAATCTGCAGTGCCAAAAGGCTTGTTCACAAAACAAGGGGCAGTGGCAACTGCGCTCAACAAAAGTAATGCAGACAAATGCGGCTTCTGGCAAGGATGGAGCTAAGAGAAAGGAATGCAAGGACTAAGGAAGTCTTGGAGCTGCTCAATGTGGAGTTTTGCATTGGGAGTAGTAAAGCTCGAGAGTCTGTAATGGAGCGAGAATGGCCATGTGTGTAGAGAGATTTACAATTCTTGAATCTAAAGGTGTTTATACATGAATGTACAGTATATCAATTCTTCTAATTGGATAAGTTACACCAATAGAAGGTAACGCACCCAATTTGTGTAAACATGAAGGTATAGATCGTCATTTACATTTTGTAATGTTCTTGAGAGTTCTTTTTTAAAATGAAATGGCAAATAAATCTTATATATACATGATGACAGTACTAAGCAACTTCCTGTGTCACCTCCCACCTGCTTACTGGTCTATGACTATCACCACACTGGTCAGATCCTTTTTTTTATGTGAACTTTTTTAATGATGGGCCCATCCCCCACCCCAGATTCCCCACATCACCTCTGGATTGTGAAATTTCCTCCTTAGACTGCAAGTACTGTCATGGGGTCAGGAGTAATCGACTATATAAAAGTAAATATTTGCATAAGATATTCAGGGACTGCAGCAGCACTTAGAGAAGGTCAAAGCCAAGTCAGAATTCCTGATCTATGTACTATGGTGGGTCAATGACTCAAAGTAATGACTGTAGCAAGCAAAAAAAAAAAGCGATGTGCATATTGAAGAATTGATTGCTTATTGAGTCTTTGGTTCTGAATCAACTTTACTGATCACAGCACATCGTGCACAGATTCCACCCACTGACGCATTTCACCCCGATAAGCTTAGTGATGCCCAGTGTTAGCCAAGAATAAATACACAGAGAGGACAAGAAGCATTTGTACTTATACCTTAAAGCTGGCCATACACCTATAGATTATCTGCAGACTTTCTATGGTCAGATGGAAAAAGTGCAACAGATTCCTCCATCTACGCTAAACTGTGTGGATGGAGGAATCTCCCACTGGGCCAAGCTTCAGTATCTTACTAGTCGACCCCGCTGGCTCTCAAAACACCTGAACAATGCCTGCATCCAATCAGATTGTTCAGGTGTTCTGAGAGCCAGCGGGGCCGACTAGCAAGATACTGAAGCTTGGCCCAGCGGGAGATTCCTCCATTCACACAGTTTAGCGTAGATGGAGGACTCTGTTGCACTTTTTCCATCTGACCATAGAAAGTCTGCAGATAATCTATAGGGGTATGACCAGCTTAAGAAGCAGTCTTATAGCTACTAAAAGGTATAAATGTGACAATACTTTCTGCCTTCTCTACCCCTGTTAAGGTAATGTAAGCACTGGATCAGCAATAACAGTCAGGCAACTAGCATTTTCAAAAGGAGAGGTTAGTAAAGGAAACCTTTAGAATTCAAGTAGTACAGGCTTCCTTTAAATATGGTACTTCTGTACACCTATGCATGCACATGGACGTACTACTATGGGTGCAGACTGCGTCCTGGGTCGTATGTCCATGCACATGCACCAGCGCATAGCCGAGTGCAGCCATAAACTTATATGGGACCCTGTGCGCAGCATCTGTGGTTCCCTGGTGGGGGAAATATGGGCAAACTTACTTTATACGGGCGCAGGTGCCTGTGTGCATGAGCCCTAGGTTCTTTTTTCAATAAGATGCAGATAGAGCCAGTGCAGGGTTTCCTGTGCCACCTCCAGCATCCTTTGAAATATTGCACATGTGTCAGGCATGTTACATGCACAGAATTGGGACACCCCCAGCCCCAAACAGACCACAGCTGCACATTTCAGATATGAGCTGATTCTGATTTTGTTTTCTTTTTGTTAATTTTTTACAATGGCGCAGTATTAAGGTGGTTGAAAAAAAATGACGCAGGTGTGTTTTTGGCTCACCAATGCACCGATAAGTGTGAATAGGCCCCTGATGTGATTCACAGTGATGGTGTTAAAGGGCATCCTGGAAAGAAAAGCTTTCCTCGTCCCTGCGACAATCGCAGAGCTGAGGGTTGGTTTCTTTCACCTGAGGATGGACGTACAGGGGTGTGAAGCACACCTACATGCTAAAAAAAGAAGTTGCTAAAGACTTACGTTTGGGTTGTAGTTCTCTCCGGGCTCGATGAGATACGTGTGATTCCCGTCACAGAACATCCCACTGTGGGGGGGAAAAACAACAGAAAGAATGTTTATTGGTATGCGTTGTATATCTCTGGATTGCCATCTCAAACATCAATAAAGATTCCTGACTTCTCTAGCCCTTAAAGCGACGCAGAAGATGCGAGTGCACCTTTCTGACTTTCCTCACCTGCAGACTTTCCCTCAAACTACTGGAGCTTCTGCAGCAGCACAGCAGCCAGACCAGTAGCATTTTCAGCATTGGCCGTCTGTATTATTTCAGTACCGGTTTCCTTTATGTATTAATAGTCCTCCGGGCTTCTACACATTGCCTCAACTTGCATCAGTGGCTTGGCATAGCACCAGATGAAAGGAGAAGTGGTAAACCTCAAAAACTCACTGCAATGCGTTCACTCTAGTATGTCATTTTTAGGAACCTGACACCTTAGGCTTAGGTTAGTTAGCAGTTATCCCTTAAGGGCCAAAATACACTTTTCTGCTGCAGTGCGTTGTGCTTATGCTACACACAGTAATTGCACCCTCCTGAAATGATGGCAGATAGCAAAGAAGCTGCTACCGTCAGAATAATAATAACAAGAACAGCATAGGAATGAATAGCTAGATTGCTATTGGCTATTTCAATTTGCAATAGCCAATAGCAAGCTGCCTATTGCACCCGCCCTCTGCTGCTGTCAATCAGCAGAGGTAGACCTGATGGAGAACTTCATGTCCACCTCTGCTGATTGACAGCAGCAGAGGGTGGGTGCAATATCTAGTCTGCCATTGGCTATTGCAAATTCAAATAGCCAATAGCAATCTAGCTGTTCATTCCTATGCTGTTTTATTTGTATTTTTTTTGCGTCCGGCGGCTCCGATGTCAGAATTAAAAAAAAAACAGACAGCAGGGAGAGGTTTACTTTGCTAGATAGAGCAGAGTAAAACTTTTCCGGTAGAAAACGTTTCTCTCCCGGGTGGCTGATCGCCCATATCATTATGACCTCTGAGCGGTGAAGTGAACAACATTGATTATCTCATTCCAATGACACCTGGAAGTGGGGGGGAATATATTAGACAGCGAGTGAACATTTTGTCCCTGATGTTGATGTGTTGGAAGCAGAAAAAATGGGCAAGCGTAAGAATATGTGTGACTCTGACAAGGGCCAAATTGTGATGGTCAGACACTTGGGTCAGACCAACTCCAAAACTGCAGCTCTTGTCTGATGTTCCCGGTCTGCAGTGGTCGGGACCTACCAAAAGTGGTCCAAGAAAGGGAAACTGGTGTACTGGTGACAGGGTCATGGGCATTTAAGGCTCACTGATGCAAGTTGGTAGTGAAGGCTAGCTTTTCTAGATCCAATCTAATAGAAGAGCTACTGTAGCTTAAATTGATGAAAAAGTTATTGCTGTCTCTGATAGAAAGGTGTCTGAACACACAGAGCATCGCAGATTGTTGCATATGGGGCTGCATAGCTGGAGGCAGGATGCCCATGCTGACCCATATCCACCGCCAAAAGTGCCTACAATGGGCACGTGAGCATCAGGCAGGATGTCCTAGAAGCAGGCTGGGGGCTTCAGGTAAGAGGAGCAGCATAGGTGTGCAGGGAAAGTGACCCTGCACAGCACACCATATATCCTGCACAGCCCACCTGAGAGTCTCAGGTGGGATATGCGGGGTCTGTGGTGGACTCTACAAGGTCTCAGGTGGGCTATGCAGGGTATATGGTGGGCTCTACAAGGTTTCAGGTGAGCTGTGTGGGGTCTCAAGTGGGTTATGCCGGGTCTATGGTGGGGTCTCAGATGGGCTATGCAGGGCCTATGGTGGGCTCTACAAGGTCTCAGGTGGGCTATGCAGGGTCTGTGGCGGGCTCTGCAAGGTCTCATGTAGGCTATGCAGGGTCTATGGTGGGCTGGGTGGGGTCTGCAAGGTCTGAGGTGGGCTGTGCAGGGTCTGTGGTGGGGTTTGCAGGATCTATAGTGGGGTCTCAGACGGGCTCTGCGGGGTCTATGGTGGGCCCACAAGAGATCCTTCATAGACCACCATAGACCCTGGCTTCGCTGCTACGCTACTAACGCAAACTGTCAGAAGCTGGATACAGCATGCACGCTGTATGCAGCATCTGACCGGTTACACAATATGTCTTAAACTGGAAGGGGTACGGCAAATTTAGATTGGGGGGGGGTGCCCGAGTTTTGTCTTGCCGGGGGCAGCACAAAACCTAAATACACCACTGCGTTAGGGTAGCTCTCCCCGCAGGCTTGTGTACATTTTTTAACTGGGCCCAGCTGTGCGTGGCTTTGCCCAAATAGCCACAGGATCCATTCACAGCTCCTTTAACAGGTCTATACCTCAATATGGACATGGACAGGAGGAAGAGTCTGCAGGAGCCAGAGCATCGCACCCACGATTAACTGACTGGCTTCAATGCAAAATTAATAAGTAAATGCACTTTATTTTATTTTATGAAGTTTTGTTTTTAGGGAAATTCAACCAATAAAAAAAACAAAAACTTCTTCATAAAATATAAAATGTGCACAAACGCTCACAAAAGTGCCAGCATCGCTTCACGTTGATTAAATCATTAGCTGCCGAGTTTTTTGGACTCCTGTCAATTAGAAGACGGAGGAGACGCTCAATAAGCACCTTGTAGGCATTCTGGAAGATCCTATTCAGCATTAACTTTGATACTCCCGGCGCCTGGAGGACTATTTATTATTCCAGATGTCCCAGCCTGCACCTGGGCAGCTTTAATCTGGCATCAAGAAAGATTTAAAAATGCTAAAGCTACACAGATATTAAAAAGCTTTTTTTTTTTTTTTTACTGTACGTTACTATGAGCCTCTATTCTCTCTCCGTCTCCAATGCTTTTATTCTTTTTCATTTTTCCCCTCCTTTTTCGCCTATTTTCTTGCCATTTGACAAGTATTGGCAGTGACCACTATGGGGGACATTTGTCAATAAAGTTGCAGCTATTGCTTGCTGCAGTTTGTTAATCTGTCATAGAAATTCAACAGATTTATCGTAATAGATTATATATCATCACCAACACACCATACTTAGTGATATTAAATGAGAACTATGGGGTTAAGGCTTTTCCCCATAGTTCTCCTTAGGGTAACGGGAGGACACAAACTAGCGTCCTCCCGTCACCTTAGGCTCAGTATACGGCGAGCTGTAGCTTGCGGTATACTGAGACGCCGCAGCCGGAGCGGATCCCAGCGTAGATGACGGGATCCGCCCAGCTGCGTGACTGACAGCTGGCTCTGCCTATCTAGAGGCAGAGCCAGCTGTACCCGCCCCCTCCCCCGTCCGTTCCGTCAGTCAGCGCTGGCGGATCAGAGCGGGGAGGGGGAATCCAGCCCCTCACCTGTCACGGCAGAGAGCCGTGACAGGATCGAGAGGTGAGCGAACCACGCAGTGGGGCTATGAACCACGCAGTGGGGCTACCCTCACCCTGCAAGGGTTATCTGGTCATTTTGCCAAGTCTGGTAGCCCCACTGCAAGTGTTAATAAAAAGTTTGCCGGAGTTCTTCTTTAAGTAGGCCACACTCCTAATGTAAGTTTGCTATAATGTAACTGCAACTGTTTTAAAACATGGCCCACATCACTATTTAATTATGCAACAGATCTCTGTTCTAGTTCTGCCGCAATCTACGTCATAACACGAGCTATGCGATAAAGAGCAGACATTGGCAGACTGGTTACAGACATTCGCAGTGAAGTAGTACAGCGCATGCAAACATTCAGCTGCACAAGCTAGAACAGGGACTGCAAATGATCTGTACACATGTACATGGTGCGTCATTTAGAACTGATGTGACTGTGTTAATAAATGTCCTTCTCTGTTCCTAAGCTTACACTTGCAATCTAGTAATGAACCAGTAGAGGGCAGCAAAGCTTCACCTATTAATCTGCAGAGAATGTTACACTATACACTGAGTGGCCAGATTATTATGACCACCCCATCAGTACTTCGTTGGGCCACGAAATGACTCCACGAGATGACTAAGGCCCCGTTCCCACTGCGCGATATGCAAATCGCGCGTTTGTCGCGCGATTTGCATATTGCGCGACATCGCGAGATTTGCCGCGCGATATCGCGTTCAAGCTTGCATTGAGCAAGCTTGAATCGCGGCTAAATCCGCTCCAAAAAGGGTCCTGCTGTAGCGACACACGACCCGCGACAGCAGGACCCTTTGCCCCATTGAAATGCATTGGAGCGCGATATCGCGCGGTAATTTGCCGCGATATCGCGGGAATTAGCGCGCGATAAATCGCTCAATGTGAACGGGGCTTTAGTTGGGCCGCCTCGTGACTCCACGAGATGTTGAAAGGTGATGCGAGGAATCTGACACGGCACTGTTGCCCTTCTGTTGTCTTGTACCAGTCTTGCCCCTCCCCCGTTCTGCCCTAACATTGACTAGTCGCTGACGGCCACAATTCACACGTTCAGACCCAGATTTTCGGCTGACAGTCCGGTCTTTAAACACTTTAACAACAGCTGCTCTTGAACATTTAACGAATTCTGCTGTTTTGCTGACACTCGCTCCATGGCTCGCGTCAACAACCATCCCACGTTCAAAGGCTGTTAAATCGTCAGGTGGTCATAATAATCTGGCCACTCAGTGTAATTGTGTGCTCAGTTTATTGCTGCAGCACGTTAATAAAATGACAAATTGCATATCTTGCAACCTGAAACAAATCTATGGGACACTACAAACAGGATCCTCTAGGTGCCTATACTGAGTCTCCATTCCCACTGTCCGCGCATATTTGGCTGTATGAATACGCACGGAACCGCTCTAAACAGAAAAAACAATGCACTTTAATGTGCATTCTTCAGACTATTGCGGAGACTGCATGGTACGAAACTGCATGGCCCCCATAATAGTGCTAGCGCCAGAATGCGGCGGATTCCGCATGTTTGCAGATATAAATAATAGCCGCAAACGACCGGAATCCGTGTAGTTGTTGCACATATAGCGTTTGCGTCCCGTGTGTGAAATGCAAACACTATATGTGTAATGGAGTGCCCAAGAACCACAGAAACCCATGCTGACATAGACCAGCTTCCATTGTCACTATCCCCTTCCCTTGTCTGGTGTTTCACTATTTGCCTACTGGCCCCGTTTACCGATAAAATAGCGCAAGAGGTGGGAGGTGTCAGGCCAGAGTAAGCGACCGCAGGAGATTATTCCTCACTTCCTGTTTAGGTGACACCAGAATAAGGAATTGGGGGCACCGCTATCACCAGTATAGGAAGACACAGATATCAATAAAGAATGTTGCACCTTAATGGTGCTCCACATTCACCTTACTGTAAAAGCTAGTTATGAATTGATGATGAGTGCGTTTGCCATTGGTTTCAGTTATTGAATCAATAACAAACACACACAGGTTCTAACCCATCCCCACTAAACAGAAAACCCTGAAAACCCATAAATATGTCCCCAATGGAGAGATTTCACATTGTTTCCTATCCCTATGACACCAAAGTCAAGTAGTGAGGGGAAATCTGTCCAAGCGGAAACACAGATGGCTTTAAAAACCTGCTGGCCTAAAGTGTATTACTATGACTGTCGCCATCCAGGGGACGGTACCTGTACGCAGGCCGCAGCGTGGCATGAGATGGGTAATGACCTTTAAATCCATTCTTCCCATTGAATGCAGTTACAGTATGTATACAATAAATGTATTCAGCCTCCTGTAAACCCGTGTCTAGCAGCATTCAGGCTCAGAGAAAGACACACTGCACTACCAGCCAGGCTCTGCTACACTGTGAACATGCTGACAGGAGGGGAGAGCAGACTGTGACCTCATCACTGAGCTGCTGTTCTTTCACTGTCCAATGAGCAGGCTGGAGTTGTGTTCTTTACTAAGCTACATTGCAGGATTACACAACTGACAGGTGAAATAGTTCCTTTATTTCAACTGCTTATGTAGCCACCGGCCTGGAGTTTAGCTTTAAGCCCCATTCATACCTAGCGATGCGTGAATATAGGCGAATGCGCATTTGCATGCATTTTTGCTACTGTTGCTGCGCGTCAGTCCATTCAGTCAATGGGCTGCCGCATGCACGACAATCACAGAAAAGTAGCTCATGCAGCATTTTTCCATACGTTTGTGTGCTATTGTCACCACAATGGCAACGCAAATACATTGCGCGTTTTAAAAGCGTTGCATGAGCTCAACCCCAAGGTGTGATTGGGGACTTAGGGGCTCATTCACATGGGTACAGAGGTCCGTTTACCGTATAAACAGCTGGATCTCTGCACCTGAGAGCCATAGGTGGTTGCATACAGCACAAGTGACTTAAGAGCCCATTCACACCAGGGCGGTTGTGGATCAGCGCGGTTACCGCACTGATTTCAAAATGGAAGGTTTTGGGAGTTTTTTATTGCGTTTCAGCGCTGAAATGCAATTAAAAACGCCTAAAACTGCGCTGATCATTGCGATTCCTATGAAAGCTGTGTGGAAACCGCGCTGATCAGCGCGGCAATAATAGTGCAGGGAGCAGTTCTGGCGCGGGGCGATTCGGATCGCGCACGGTCGTATGAACGCTCCCCATAGCAATGTATGGGATCGTTCATGTCGGCGGGTCCGCGCGGTCAAACCTCCCCGGTGTGAACAGGGCCTAAGACTGTATGCTACTAAATGCTGCTACCGTCTCTGGATGCCGGTGTTCTATCGAAAGTTCCAATGGTTGTGAAGATATGTCACCAGCACTCCAGAATGACAAACGAGTCAATTTTAGTGAATCTCCATTTTTTTTTTTAAGAGGTCACTCAAAGTAGGGTCAAGCGCTTTCGGGGCCGCGCAGGGTCCCCTTCATCAGGCTTAAAGTGAACAATTCAAAGTATACACCATAACCATTATATACACACACAAACAGACTGTAAATCACCAGACTCCACCCCTTTGACATCATACTGACGTCATATTCCCGCCAGAACAAAAGGCAAAGTCTGTTCTTCACAGTAAGATCAGTTAGGGTCTGGAACTCACTGCCACAGGCGGTGATTTCAGCAAATAATGTGGAATTGTTCAAGAAACTTTTGGACGATTTCTTAAGGGACCGTAATATACAGGGGTACGGGTACTCCTAGAATGAGATCCTAATAGGTTGGACTTGATGGACTAATGTCTTTATTCAACCTCAAATACTATGTAACTATGTAACTATGTAAAGTAATACTTCAAAATGTATTCATAGGCATAGTATCAAAGACTATGGGGCTGCTGGTTGGAGATGCAAACAAGATGTGTATGTGGGTTTGACATAGCAGAACTAAACAGCGTTGCGTTAGTGAGCTGGCAACGACCGGACAGCTGACAGCCGGGTTGCCATGGTAATCGGGACGCTATTCGTTAATTGTGGGCCCGCCCAGCGCCTCCTGTGTTCGGGCCGGAGGATCGAAGCTATCGCGCCACTTGCTGCCATATTGAGTGGGGCAACTCATATTAATAACGTGCTGGATTAGTGTGACCCTAGTCCATTTTAAACCTTTATTGCTGTGTAGTATTTGTATAGGGAAATGCTGCGGGTGGCGCACGTGCAGTAAAGCCTTCTCGGCCAAACCTCTTACGTCTAACTAAACCGGAAGTCATGTCATTGGAGATCTTGACGGGTTGGAGTTTTCGACAGAACACCTACAGTCATAGTAATTCACTTTAGGCCAGCAGGCTGATTTCTTTCACATGAATATAAATAAATATTATAGGGCGGGATTTATCACAACTGGAGCAGTTGCCCATAGCAACCAATCAGATTCTATCTTCAGTTTGTTGAGACAAGCTTTGAAAATGAAAGAGAGAAGCTGATTGGTTGCCATGGGCAACTGCCTGCTCCAGTTTTGATAAATTCCCTCCAATGTATTTATTTTTTATTTGTTAAAATAGAATAATAATGACAATCGATACTACATAATCGCATAAATAATGAGGCGAAAAGAACCGCAGTCCATGGCAACCAATCAACATTGAGCTTCTTTTTTTTTTTTTTACTATGTTTGTGCAAAGCTCTGCTGTGATTGGTTCCCTTAGGGTTACGGCGTTTTTCTAAAAAAAAATAGGCCTAGGATTTGTGAACCATATTGTGATTGGTGGCAGCAACATTAGCGATAAACTGTTTAAAATTAACTCCATTACAAAAACTAGAGGCCACCACCTAAAATTGGTGGAAAAAAAATTCCAGCACAAGGGGCGAAGGGGGTTCTTCACAGTAAGATCAGTTAGGGTCTGGAACTCACTGCCACAGACAGTGATTTCAGCAAAGAATGTGGAATTGTTCAAGAAACTTTTGGACGATTTCTTAAGGGACCGTAATATACAGGGGTACAGGTACTCCTAGAATGAGATCCTAATAGGTTGGACTTGATGGACTAATGTCTTTATTCAACCTCAAATACTATGTAACTATGTAACTTACTGTAGTCCATGACACGTTGACAGGGCCACGAATGACCTGGGTTTCCCTCGGATGTGTCCCTGGTAGTAGCAATGCTCCCCGCCCTGAGAGAGAGAAAACAAAGATTACAATGGCCGACTGTCACCCGTATTTTTCTATCACAAGTTAAATGAAAACAACAATTGGTACATTTTCCTTCTGTGTTTATCCATCGAGCCCCGTTACTTCAGCAAACAAAATGGCTGTCGCCGCCACGGGCCCTTTCTACAGCGTGGTGTTTACTAGAGAATGGCTGCAATCTGTCTACAAGTGAGGAGGTGTATTTGTAGAAGGAATGCGCACAGAAGAAAGACTGATGTACGGTTATTAAAATGGCATATCGTGTATGGCAGCTTGCTGTGCCATCTGGCCAGGAAACGCAGCCTAGGCAGAAGCCTGACTGAAAAGCAGTTCCTCCTCCTGATCAGGAATGTGCTGACTGCCAATTAGCAGCGGCGGCGGATGGAAGCGGCGTAATACACGTTATGACAAGAACTTATAATAGATTCTTATCCATAAATGCTAAAACAGCATTCAATATTTACTACCTTGTTAAAGAAAGAAGACAATTAGGGAGCGCGCCAAATTGCATTCTCCGGGGACATCATCACTAATGTGCTAGAAATGGAGCAAGGGCTTCTGGGTAATCTTGGTTACCTGAAAATGCTCTGTCATAGCTCACAGTAGGCCATGAAGTGTATCTCCAGGCAAACCTTTCGTTTTGGCTAGTGTGAGGGAAAGGTTAACGCCTCCAACAAATTGTTTGAGGCCTTTTTGGAGAGATTTCCCCTCACATGCTGTCCCAGTGGCAACATATAATTAGTACAGGATGTGAGGTGAAATTTCCTAGAGGGGCATGTACAGCAATATATATATTTTTTGCTACAACTAAGGCAAACTACCGGGGTTGAAACGCGTCAACTGTTTATTAGCTTTTTTCATTAAATAAAGTTTGCATATGGATGGATCCCATGTTGAGTGCCGGTGTTCTATCGAAAGCTCCAACTCATCGAAATTTCCAACTACCTCACTTCCAGTGCTCAGAAAGAATGTGGATTCTGTACAGTTGCGGTGCGCATGTGCGCATAGCGTTTTCAAAATACTCATTGAGTTTGCCACCTGCTGAATATTGTTAAAATGGCACTGTACAGAGCTCCGTTAGTCTTTCTGTTTTGCAGTCTAAAGCCGTCTGCTTGAAATCTCCAACTTGCAAGTACCCGGCAGTGAGGTAGTTGCGACGAGTTGGAGCTTTCGATAGGACACCTGTACTTTACACACTTTTGTACTTAAAGGCTCGGTCAGAAGGCTCACCGTGCACCAAGGTTATGTCAGCAGAATTGGATCTGAGGGGGTAGAGCTGCTTTCTATTCTCTTAGCACAGCAATAGGGGGGAAAGGCAAAGACCCTGACAGTTTTTTTTATTGCTGTGTCCCTGCTAAAGATTTTACCCTCACTTCCTGTCTTGGGGACACCATTGTTACAAAGAGGGAAAAGTAAGGGAGAATCTATTCTTTGATGCCCAGGCAGCAATGCAATTTGTCATGTTATAACTCAGGGGTTTGCAAACTCCAGCCCTTCCGCTGTTCTGAAACTACACATCCCACCATGCATCTTTCTCTAGGAGTCATGCCCGTGGCTGTAAGAATCTTGCAATGCCTTATGGGATTTGTAGTTCCACAACAGCTGGAGGGCTGGAGTTTCCCCCCCCCCTGTTCTAACTTCCCTATCTTATACAAAACTAAGGCCTTGTTTAGATGGACAGCAGGCTCAGCAGCGGCAACAGCCCCTCTGAAGAGCGTTCGAGGTGGATCGTTTTTCAAAAGGCTGTACAGAAAACTTTTTGGGGTGTTTTTTACTTTCCTTTTTGTCAACTTTTTTTTCTTTCCTACCTTTATTGCTATTACATAGGGCCTGCCTGTGATAGCACTGTGGAAGTGACCTTTTATTTGGCTTTAGTTCTCTTTTGGGTCACAGGAGGACATTTACTAAAATACTCCCGTGACCCAAACTCAGCATATGGTGGACTACGGCCTCCTATATGCTGACAATGCAGAGCTGAGCTACAGCCAGGATAGATCCCGACAATATTGCCAGGATCCACCCTGCTGCCTGACAGCTGGCTCCGCCTCTCTAGAGCCAGAGCCAGCTGTGCCCACCCCCTCCCCTGTCTGTCTCTCCAATGAGCACTGGAGGAACAGAGAGAGGGGAGGAGAGAATCACTGTGGGGAGCAGCGACTGACAGTCACCACTCTCTGCAGGGAGAAGCCATCAGTTTCTGAGACTGATCAGAGGTTTGTGATCGCTTAGGTTTCAAGCTATAGAGCCGGCGTGTGACACTGCCAGCTCAAACTATTGGGAAGAGTACATTTTACTCTCCCATTAGTTCTCCTTTAAGGAGACATTCGAGGACTGTTAGACCCCTAATGTCACCTTGCACTCAATTGAAGCTAATCATTTTTGATTAGCTTCTTCCCAAGCCACAGCAGCCGGCAAATGAAAGCACTGAAACTGGAAGTGTCTAAAGGCTTGTCACTTCCAGCTTCATTCACTGCAGAGATGATCAGCGAGCATATGTTTCCTGATTGTCATCTGCTCTTCTCGCTGACACCCACCATGGACATTCCAGATACCCAGGAAGGGCAGTGGAGCCTGGGCAGGAGGGCGGCACAATCCACAGGCTGTGGAAGTGATTTAGCAACTTTACAACTAAACCAAATGACTTGTAATAGAAAGGCAACAGCGTGCAGAAGTGTTTACAGTCCCCTGCTGCTGCCGATGCAAGCCTTACATTAGTGGCAACAAAAGGGTTACAGGAAACCTATACTAAGCGAAATAAGGAAAGTTGCCATTTCTGATCTTCTCAAAATGCTAGATACAGACATACCAATCAGGGGCAGACATACCATTTGTGCACACCGTACAGCTGCACAAGGCCCCTCTGGGACTCTGGGGCCCATTTATAATAGATGTGGGTCAGATAGGTGCTGGGGCCCCCTCACCGTCAGACAGACTAAACATGTTTCCCTTTTATCCAGCTGTCAATCGATACACAGTGAAGACATGTTTTTAAACTGCCAATATTTGGCTTAGGCGGTCAAAATTGGTCTTGCACAGGGACCCTTCCATGGCTCCTTCCTCCACTGACACCTATTATCACTCAACTTCAGTAGAGTCTGATTAGGAAACTACAACAAGGATACGTAAGTGAAAGTTATCGATATCTCAGTATCTGTCTTGAATAAAGTTTCCAATACATTTATTAAGTACGGATTTTGATAGGTCCTCATGAATATCATTTCACAAACTATACTTTGTGTAAGTGACAGGTGCACTTTAAAACCTCTGTGATGCATATAACAGGAAAGGACATCTTCCTGCAGGGAGTATAGATTTTCCTCCGCGGCGGGTTCTAATAAAATAAATGAGATATTTTAGATCGAATTTGAGAGCTGAAGAGGTACAATCGATTTTTTTTCTTTTTGAAAGTTTGTAGGAGGCTAAGCTGACGTTTGGCTGTGTTCCCAGCATGGTGCGTAAGGATGCACTTCCTGTATACCACAACACATTTCATCGATATAAGATCCCATGCGCTCCTCGAGTATGAGAGTATGTCCAGTCCAAACTTTTTTTTTTTTAGTTTTGGATAGAGTGGACAAATGTTTGAACCCTTGTTGAGTTTTTACAGAATAAATTTTTTTTTTCTTCAGTAGAGTAGGGAAAAGCTAGAGCCCAAAGGCGTCCCGAGGCCAGGTGTCACCCGGAGTAGAGATCAGGTGACACCCCGCAGTGACGTCATCTCACGTGCGCGATCGTCTAATTGACGCCTGCCGGCGGCCATCTTGGTGATGGACGCCGGCAGAGAGAGGAGAGGACCGAGTGCCCGACTTTTTAGAGGGGGGTGACACTAAAATGACTGTCAGTCATTTTGGTGTCACCCCTCCGATGGTGTTACCCAGATGCAGGCTGCACCCCCCGCACTCCCCTTGTGACACCACTGCTAGAACCCCTGTCAGGTTTTATTTTTGTCGATGTCCCTGTTGCAGATTTTCACTTTTTCCCTTTCTAGTGAAAACCACTGCCAGCAGGACGGGAAGTGAGGGTAAATCTCTCTAACTATGCCCAAATAGCAGTAAAAACACCACAGGGGATTTGAATCCTTCCCCACACTATTCAGAACTAATTTTTAACCCCTTGCTGTCACCTCCTGACGCCACCTTTAACTGGGTCTTAACGTTGGAAGACGAAGACTAAGGGGTCTATTGACGAAGCAGCAGAAGGATCTAGCCGTAGCTTCGGCCGATCCTTCGGCTAGCTTCGGCCCAAGGACCACTTCGGTTCAGTAGAACCGAAGGGCTGCTGTACGGGCTATTCACGATAGTCCGTACAGCTCCCAAACTCAGCCGAGCGTCTCAGTCACTCGGCTGAGCCGCGCTGGAAGCCAAAGCCATTGGGCGGCCGACAGCCTGCTTCTGACAGCTGGGCGGAGCCAGCCGTGATCTTACGGCTGGCTCCGGCCACTTGCAGAGAGATCAGCGTCCCTGGTTACCCGCTAACCAGGGACACTGATCTCCAAACAGCTAACTCTCCCGACTATCTAGACCCCTAAGTCCTGCCTCTGCTTCTGAATCATGTGACCACCGTGAATGGCTGTCGGCACAAATATCTCACTGATCATGATGTTATTTCTTACACATCAGCTGTATGATATTACTGGTACACAGCTTTAGAACATCTGATGCCGAGGGTTGGAAGACGATAGCTTCAAGGCTACAGATAATAATTACTGGTGTGTAATTCCTCTTGTATTTCCCTACAGCTTGATTTGGTTACCAAGATATGCATTCCTGTGATGGTTCTTACTAGGGATGTCCAGATACCAGTACAGATACCAGTGCTGATACTTGGCATTTTCATGAGAACTACCAGGGTTGCAGCGGTTGCAGCTGGGACCTGGCTCTGGCGCTCTACCACTGTCCTGAAATCATTAGTCTGTATTGTTTTAGAAAAACTGTCACAGGACAATAAACAAAAATGTATCAGTACTTGTATTTGTGAGTACTTGGAC